TGGAATGAGGCTAACTTCTATACAGAGATCGTCCGATGTACTATGGCCTTTTCGGTGCAACGTGGGCCGTCGCAGGCGCTCTTGGTCCTGTCATAGGTGGAGCTTTCACTACAAATGTGACTTGGCGCTGGTGTTTCTATCTCAACCTTCCTGTGGGAGGCGTCTCGCTTGTTATCCTTATTCTCTTCCTTCACATTGAGTCGCCCAAGACTCCATTCTGGGCTGGTATGCGCTGCATTGATTGGACAGGAACTTTCTTGATCATCGGTGGGACCCTGATGTTCCTCTTCGGGCTGGAGTTCGGAGGTATCAACTATCCCTGGGACTCACCTACTGTCATCTGCCTGATTGTTTTCGGTGTGTTCACTTGGGCTCTGGCAATGTTCCTGGAATGGAAGGTTGCCAAGTTCCCGATCATTCCCCCGCGGCTCTTCAACGAGTGGTATAACATTCTCATCCTGCTCGTTTGTTTCTGCCACGGGTTCACCTTCATCGCCGCTACCTACTATCTACCCCTTTACTTCCAAACAGTCCTCCAGGCATCTCCCATCCTGAGTGGTGTGTATGTCTTGCCTCTGGTGCTGTCCCTTGCAGTCGGCTCCATGATCACGGGTGTGGTTATGAAGAAGACTGGCCGCTTCCGTGAGCTAATTATCGCCGGTATGACCTTGATGGCCCTTGGATTCGGTCTTTTCATCGACCTCAAGGTCTACGCTTCATGGCCCCGTATCATCATCTACCAGTTAATCGCTGGCCTCGGTATTGGCCCCAACTTCCAGGCACCTTTGGTCGCTTTCCAAGCCAATATCCGTCCCGCCGACATGGCCACGGCAACAGCCACTTTCGGCTTTGTCCGTCAACTTTCCACTTCGATGTCTGTCGTTCTGGGCACAGTCATTTACCAAAACATCATGAGTCAACAATCAGCCGAGCTCATCGCCTCCCTAGGCCCTGAGACCGCTGCGGCTGTTTCTGCTTCCTTTGGCGGCGCCTCCAAGTCCCTCATCAAGAGTCTTACTCCCTCCCAGCGCGACGTCGTTCTGGGCGCCTACACACATGCCCTGAACCGAATGTGGATATTCTACACCGCCACAGCTTGCCTTGGCTTCGTTCTCGCTTTGTTCATTCGCCGTCGTGAGCTGACACGCCATCACACCGTCCAGAAGACGGGCCTTGCTGAGCAAGAACGTGCCCGTCAGGAGCTTATCGATCAGCGCAAGGCTAACTCGAAGCCTGAAATCGAGGCCTAATCTCTCCCGAAGTCTCCTCTGGATACCCTTCTTAATGATTTCTCCTCTCCGTCCATAATTATTAATTAGCACATATTCATCTTAAAAGTTAATGCATATTTATTTAATCGGATCTTTGCCTTTGTAGCCTCCAACACGTCTCATTTGTGTTATCATACAGTTATCCTTTGTTTCGTTGCTTATTGCATATGAGTCATGATGCATGTTGAGCCTTTGTGCACAATAAATAAAGCTAATCGCACAAAAATGCATAGAATTCTATACCAAGTTTGATCCCTGTATGCCTTCCAAGGTTCTTTATCCCGCTCCATTTGTCACTAGATTCAACTGTATAAGTATATGTTGGCATGTCAGAAGTTTTGACTATTGGGAAACAACACATGCCATATCATATATCATAGCTTATAAGCATCTAGCATATGATCTGAACGACCTTAAACTAATGCTATCTGGCGCTAGACCGAGCCATCCTTGGGCTGGTAGCGTACAGATCGCCACGTCCCTCTGTTCTAGTGGTCGAGGTTTGTCCTAGAACCACATGACTGCTTTATTGACATGGCAATGTTGAAGCATATCATATAAATATGACTCCATTTGGACCTACACCGAGGGAATGCTCTATAAATTATAAACTTAATCGTAAAGTAAGTAAACTATTTAACAACTTCTTACCCACCCCACAGCAGACTGATTTACAACAGCGTTTTGATATCTGGTTGAAGCCTGTTTGTGCCTCATGCAATCCTGCTCCTATATAAAGTGCTCTCTGCTGCTCTTCCTCCTTCTCCCCATCCGCTTTCTCCCCATCCCTTTCTTGTCAGCGGTCTGGCTCAACACATGGTTTTCCGCTACTTGAGTTTCGAGATCCGATACTGGCCATTTTCAGGTCGTCAGCCGGCAGGTTTCTCTTACGCCTCGCTAGAGGTGTATCATCCTCTTGCTTCTCTTTCTTTCTCTTTCACGGTTCCCTAGTCTCTTTTCTCACTTCTCCTTCACTTCATAGTTGTCTGTTCTCTTTCCTCACTTCTTCTTCATTCTTCTGTCATTTCTCACTTTCTCAATCATAGCCTCAAAGTATACCCATGGTACTTCCTGACAGAATTTGCCCTCCAACATTTGATGAAACTGACAATAACTTGACAACCATAGTTCGACCACATATTCCCTTATCC